ATTGGAACTTGTCCCAGAGAACTTTTTTAAAATGCATACAAGTCTCATATATATGGGGCTTATTTGCTCAAAAGAACAGGCATTAATGACTAAAAATGGGGCCTTACAGAAAGAACAGAGTATATTACTCTGCTTAAATATTCATGGCCGAAATGCAGAATTTAGACTACAAATTTTAAGGTTCACAATCCTTGAATACTTGTGCCTGTAAACGAGGAGTAAGTCTCAAAGTAAAACTCAAAAAGGAGAAACCAAGCACAGCTGAATCAAATTCATTTAAAAGTAGCAAGTGAATATTTGTAGATTGTCCTGTATTATTTCCTTTGATGGAATTAAAATGCCTCAATAGCTACATTAAAATAAATTAAAATTTTTACTCAGCCTTGACGGCGGTGGCTGGCACAGGACCATGCAATATGTGCGTCACTCTTCCATTAGCCTCAGCCTTCCAGCTAGGGAACGGCACCACTCACGCTCGGATTCATCCCAACGAATGCTGAGGCTGGAGAAAAGTTACCCCGGTTGTCAGCCTGGAGAAGAGCCCTCCGGCCATGAGATGCTGGTTATGCCCTATTTTCAACATCGCCAGGTCAGCCTCCATTTTTAGCTGTCCTTTTGAGCGTGGGCAACTCTGGAAGCCGGAGTTATCTACCAGTACCACATTTGCAATTAATAACCAGCACAGTTCAAATGGCAATTTAAGAGACTCTCCCATTTCTCCTCGTTATAGGTGGGCACTGAACCCCCAAAGCACTGCGGTAAGAATTGGTACGCATCTCAGGCTTCCTGGAGGAAAGCTTGCTCCCCATCCTTCAGCCGGAGGTATTGGCCTCCCACTCCACAGCCAAATGGGACAGGATTGTACCACACATCCCAAACTGTATGTGTAGAAGCTGCAAACCTCAAATAATTCCCACTTTAAAAAGAACAGAAATAGCAGATGCGGTGGTGTATAGTGGAAATAAAACTCCAGGTGGTCCTTCCCCACCCGTCAGTCAAGCTTACGTGTAGCATCACTGACCATGATTTAGGCAGTGCCAGGCAGGGGTAGAGACACGGGACTACCAGGCCTCTCTCCTTCAGCTCTTGACTGCTCCTCCTCCCTCACACCTTGGGGAAGCTAATGGTCTCTGAAAGCTACAGCTTCCAGTGGAGAGCTATGAATATCCCAAAAGAAGTCCCAAGGAACCCCCAACAGACTCAGCTGGGAGTCACCTACTCCAGCCTCAAGGAGCTGCATACTTGGTCCTCCTCAGACTCATCACATAGAAGTAGATTTTTTTATTTTTTTTTTAGGAAGGGAAAACCTTGTCTCTTCTTCTGTGTTTATAGAGCAGCTAGATCAACACCTTCAAATATGAAATCCTTACTGTTATCACATGGCAAAGGAGAAGGCTCAATAGTTTTCTTTTAGTGGCTTCCATTTCTGTGATTTTTACATCAAGTGGAACAAATCAGTTGTATAAAAAAGCATACCTGAAACAGAAACGCCTATCTGTATTGGAAAAAACTACACATCCCACCTCTCAAATGCAAACTAAAGTCATGACACCAGTGTCAGGATGGCATTTATCACCGCCTACAATCTTCTGATGTGGTATAATAAACCAAAGGGGATGCTTCTACTTTATCTGTTTCCTTTCTCACCATGCAAGCTTCTTTGCTGTCTTAAGATCCCTTTCGTATGAGACAGCTTAACACCTATACCTCTGCAATACTTAGTGTTTCAGAATAATTCTCCACGGTGGTTTCCAGTCAAAATTCTTGCCCCATTTCTTTGCTGCATTGCAGCTGGTTGGCAGCACTTCTGGCAGATTTTATGCTCGGTGCAAGAGACTACGATGCAGGTGGGCAGAGTTACTGGGTGAAGCCCCGTCCTTATGCACATCCTTATTCAGATTTGCGCTGCCTGAACTGCCTGCCCTTTTTGTAGACCAGAGGTCTGCAGGTGGAAAACATGACATGAAATCAGGCCAGCTCCCACAATTGTTGATGTTGTGACAGGATTGTGGGCATTGCTGGTAAATGGTCTTAATTTTCTCATCTTCCCAGAGTGGCTTAAAACGCAGCCCAGAAGGGAAGCTCCTGAGGACAGGGTGGCAGAGCCTTGCCTGCTCCAGGCTGGGAGAACAGGCACATCGGGACTTGCGGCTCCTTATTCAGTGTCCTAAGGCGCTGCGTGAAAAGCTGAGACAAGGCACTACAAAACAAGCGCAAGAGAGGAGAATGAGATGCAAAAAAAATGCCAGCTAGTGCCGGGTGCGCAGGAAGCATCAGAAACGGACTCAGGAAGCCTCCCGCTCCCCACCACAAGGCCTTTGCCGCATGCATTACTGCTGCAGGCCATGGCTG